ACGTGAGAGAGAATGAATACTTCAGGGACATTCTGTTACAATCGGATCAATGCCGCAGATACTCGTAACACACAACCAACAGCGTCATTTTACTTTACCAACCTACGGTAAGGAGTTGTGATGTGCAAAGCAAAATATCCAAGGTCGTATTGCTGATAATTTGCTTTTGAATTTTTAATCATTTTTTTCATAATCACTACTACTACTAACAATAATAATAATATGCATGATTTAAATAAGTAATGCTTTGGTAGAGTCTGATCTTGTACTGATACTATTTTATACTGATACTATTTTGATATATGATCTCACAACAATTTTTGATTGTCACTAAGAGCGCTATTGAAGAATTCTATCTTTCAGCGAATTATTCAATAATTTTTTTCAACCCTTTGAATGTCTAAACTCAATTGATATTATTTGTATCTTTTACTTCGAATGCTTTAAGTATGAATTTTCACTCGCATTTTTTCAACTGTTTAAGGTGAGAAGATAAAGAAAGACTATAAGCACGAAACTATGATTGAAAAATAAAAATGGAAAAAAGAAATTAGAAAGGTAAGATTTGAAAAATTGGTTGTTCTTTTTATGTCGACGAAATATTAGAAGAGTGTTATTTTTTGTCTCAAAATGATTCAAGATTAAATCGAAATTATCGGTGTTTTTCTTTTTTCGCTACCCTCTTCTGTTGGTTTTAAAAATATTAACTTTTAAATTGCTATCCGATATTTCGACTTGCAGAATGACTTATTTACTTTCTTTCTCATTTTCACTCATTCCATTAAGATCTCCTACATCGTCAAGTCTGAATTATTCTTTTGCTACTCGCTTCATACTATCTGGCAAGTAATATCAACAGGCAAAATTTTAGGATAAATAAATTCATTACATTCTATTAAGTTTTTTTGGAAATAAATATTATATCAGTTGAACATTATTAATTTCACAGTTTGAAACAAATAAAGTTTTTTTTTTTGAAAAATGCAGAAATTTGCGATTCTCAAATTCAGTCAAACTTCAAATTCTGTGCATCTAAAGGACTTGCTACTTTTTGCTTTTCTTCCATTAATATTCAGAGTGCGAAAATTGACACTCAGAATTTAATTTGCAATTAAATGGTAATTCTAAGAAAGCTATAGCATAACATTTTTTATATTCAACAAGCTTGAACTATAAATCAACAACATTAGTTCTTCTTCCAGACTTCTGTCTCTATGACGATAGCTTACTTTGGAAAAGCAGAAATAATAATTTAAGATAACACGGCGCAAATAACGTTTTGGCGCATTTTCCATTCCGTGCTTTCAATTTTCACATTTTCTTTATTAACTGTAATTAATTTCTCTTTTCTTATTTCTGCTTAAAAATCTTTTTTATTTGTTTACTCTTTTGCTGCTTCAGCTATTATCGAAATTTCTTAATGGTTTTGTCCTATCATATCAACCTTAATACTTAACTTCCAGATTTCGGTTTAAAATTTTGAGTTATTTTGAATGTTATTTTGAATTATTGTCTGTATTGTTTTATCTCCGATGATTCAGATTGCTAAGAAGATTTTGTATAGATCTTGGATTCATTTAAAACTTAGCATTCCCGAAACCTTTTTAGTTGTCATTTAAATTACGTATTGCTCATAATAGATGTTACCTACGGTTAGATAGATCTATGTGACAGAGGCGTGACGTAAGTGTAGCTGAGATTTGAAAATATATGTTTTTATATCGCGAATTTAATTGAATTCGAAATGATAAAAGGCAAAAAGTCAAATGATAAAATCATCGTTCCTCTTGTAGGCATTATTTTTCAGTTGAAATATTATTATATTTGTTGTAAACATTGCCATAAATTAATTTATTTACTAATTTTTTCAATTTTGAAAAATATGATTTTAGTGCTTTTATACTTATTACTGATTTTTATAATGGCATATCATTGTAAAATTATTACGCTACTTTTAAATTTTATATCTGTCATTCCCAGCTAATTGATAAAGAATTTTTACAGGAAAAAAGTGAATAAATAGATCGAATTAACTGAATCAAATTTTTTCTTTCATTGCGGTATACATCCTTCCTTGCTGACTTCATTCGTATTTCATTTATCATCTCGTTATCACTTCCAATCTTTCTTTCATTGCGACATACATCCTTCCTTGCTGACTTCACTCGTATTTCATTTATCACCTCGTTATCACTTTCAATTGATGACAAATGTCTTCATCTTGTGGTTGATACGTCTTGAAGGGTTAATAAAATACCGGTTTGTGATGTGTTGCTTAGCTTATAACGGACATTGATAATAATTTCATTAAAGGACTGTGAACAAAAAGAGTGTTTCATGAGTTTTATTTCGCTTCGGTGGGGCTAGTATTGCTATCATCAGAATGATGCTATATGGTTGTATTAAACGCTATCGTTACATTATTGCAAATAGTTTCTCCTTCATTCTTTATTTTATAATATATTTCATCTGAACATTTATTGAGCGTTTTGAATTCGGTCAGCATTTCAAGTTAGCAAATATGCTAATGTTCTATGAGAGAAGTTGGCCTTTTAGGAAATTTTAATGTTGAAGTTTGTTTTTTTGCAGTCCTAAGTTCTCCGACACAAATGTTAAACTTAAAAGTCTAACTCTGTAGTTTTATTTAATAAATTCTGCTTTTAAATTCTACTCTTTTTATGTGACGCTGTGGTAGTAAGCTAATTAAAAAGTTTAGAAGTCGAAATGCAACGCACTAAAAGATTTGAGTTTAAATATATTTACAAATTCATTTTCTAACATATTAAATGTTATTAGAAAATTAAATGTTATTTTCTAACTTTATACGCTGAATATATCATAATAAGTGATGAAAAACAATCTATTTTATCTGATCATTGAATTCCTTTTCTTATCAAATATTTGGTTTCAAATTTTGACTTCAATCAAATTCCAATTATGCATAAATTCCCTCAAAAGATCGATTTGAAGCGTATCCTTTTCATGCTCTGAATTAGAAATATGAAAACATATCGGTATGAAAGCATAAGAAGGATCAAATAAACAAAGTTTACTAGATACCAGCTATGACTTAGTGATCTGCACCTTAGATTTCGACAAAGGCGTGATGATTGGAAATAACGATCAATAGATTCTTTTAACGTGCAATAAAAAGAAATACGCCGCAATAGTCAATGCAATTTTGTGCAAAAATCTTAGTAATTGTGACTATGAATAATGTATTAAAAGCTGATGGGTAGGAGAGTACTGATATTTTTACCAAAAATTCTTTTACATTCTCATTTCTTTGAAATAGTTTATTATATTCAAATCTTAAATATCTTCTGGGACTTAAAAATTTTGTACAGATTAATTTATTTCAAGATTTCTCTTTTGCCGCCTTACTGAATTTTGGTCACACATGAAATTGTTTGGAAATGATAGGCTACTTAATTCAGAGAATACTAGAAAATAGTATGTTCAAATGATAGTACTATTTTTTGAAACCGAAAGATTTTAATATTACTCACAAAATCTTATCTAATTTCTTTCAATAACCAAAAGCAAATATTACTCATTGAAGAGACAATCAATGGAAAGAGGTGGAAATATTTCTTCAAAATTTGCATAAATAACAAGCTTTCATCCAAGCAAAAAAAATTCTTATTAAATGATTGATTTTGAGCAAATTGAATCGATTACTTCGGCTTTCTTCCAATCAAATTTCTTTTGAAACTTATCTCATAGAAGAGGAAAAGATATATAATCAAAGAATTCAATAGAGCTTTCTCATGATCATCAATTATTTGGATGACCCCATTCGTGATTTGGTAACATGAGAGTTCTAAAATTTTGGTAGTGGTAAGGGCGCATTGCGCATCATTTGATGTACCATAGTGTATTTCACGGTCATTTTCGTAGTAATGGCATCCAATTGCCCATCTCTTGAACAATCAATTGTGGGGAAGTTTTTGAGATGATTGAAGAAGTAGAAATGTGTTACTACATATGTTACTTAATTCAGTTGACTGATAAAAATTGCCATGGACATTTATCAACCATGAAAGAATCTCACTTGACTTATCAGCAATAGCAATTGCAAACTTGAAAATTAAGCACCTCTATTTTCAAATTTCATTAAAATTTGTCCATTTGTATTGCTTAATGAAATACTTCAAACCTGTACGCGCTTAGAAGTTTCAAAATATACGAAAAACTTTCCTGGCTTATTGAAATTCTTTTTTGTCTTATAAGATTTTACTGCTTCGATATCAATGCATGAGATTCCTGTACTTCTGAATTAATATTTGCTTCAATTTTATAACATTTGCAAACAATGATCGTCTTAGGACAGTTTTTCAACGAAATATAAGAAAATGATACTATCGTTTGTATCATTTTTGTTTATTTCTCCTCTTTTTCTCATTATGTCTTATCCAATCTCTCAACATCAATTTTTTCATTCATAGATAAAAAATTACTTTATTGGTCATTATCAAAAAGATCGTTTACTTTCAACCATTTAAATCATTTCACTTTCTTTAATTGACTAAATCGTATTCTTATTGCTGCTGCGGGTAGTTTTTTGATTTTACCGATTTTAATTAAGCTTTTACAATTTTCTTCGAATTAGCTGGTAATTAAATTATAAAATATTATATGATGTGTGATGATTTCATTGGCATTTGAGACAGTAATGAAATTTGAGCAATTTTTGGTAAACCAACAAAGATCATATTTCCCATACCCCACTGTGACTTCTCTTTCAGTACAATTATTACAAACATTATTTTCAGCTGAATTCACTCAACTAATCTATCGCTAAAAGAGATGATCTCAGAAAACAACAATGTCTATCAAACAATCAAAATGAAACCTGAAATTCAATTATAGCCGATCAGTAGCGAGTCATTGTAAGAGTGGCCGTATACTAACTTATTTAAGATATTATTGGAAAGTAATTATTCATTTGTTAACTGACCATAAAACTGTGTAGAATATCAGAATGATTTAGTTACAGCATGTGGCAATCATACGTCTTGCGGTCATTTTATCTGCTAACGATGAAAATAGGTATCATTGGCAATCTTTGGGTCATCTGTTCCGTTATACGTAATACACGACGTCAAACACATAGCTGCTTAAGGAGACCAAGCGATTGCCTAAGAAGCTATATTTTTGTTTTGGCATTTGTTGATCTCTTTGTTGTTTGCTCACTTTCTTTGCGCCTTGTATACATGTGGAATGAAACGCTAACTTTCGGTAAGTTAAAAAACTTCAGAAATCAAAATTCTTACAGAATGAATAAGAGTATTTTGGAGTATTATAGAATGAATATAGGGGAGAAAAAATGTGAAATTGAAAGCGAATTGATCAAAGATCCAGAAAAGAAACATTTGAACTTTCTTGACTTATTAATTTCATTCAGTTTGTACCAAATAGTAGCTAACGGAAACTGAATCGAAAATATCTTCTCGCAAATATGATATGTTCTTGCGACGATGAAGTATGCTAGCTTCGCTTTAAAATTTTATTTATATTTTTGCAAATTGCCTTTGTAAAATCCCAGTGTTTTTGTTCTGATCATTCCATTATCAGTTATCAAATTTGAAGAGATTTGGAGTTGCCGAGGATTGTATTTTGTTGAGCAGTTATCAAAAATGATATCAATGTTTTGCCTTGCATCAATTAGCATCGAAAGATATATTACAATACGTAAACCTTTCAGTAACCAGGTAACCTACAATCTTTCTGTAGCACATTGAAAATGAATTCGTTTGGTGTCAGTTATTTTGCTTATTTTCGCATTAATAACTTATAAATTGAACTGAAAAAGTGCAATTTCATATGACCGAATTTAACTATGTTAATTTTGAATTCAAATATCAGTCAATAAAGTGGACTTGAATCGTTTTTTGAAAATTTTAGCTTCACATTCAACTGCAGTCGGTTATTAATATAAAAAAAATTCTTAAAAATTAATCAACTAATTTGCTTCAATTTTTTAGGTTTGATCGCTTGGTTAATTTTCAACAATTTTTTTAACCTATTTTTTGTGGGAATTTCAGATTCGTAGACATTTTCATCAGGGCTTCCCAGCAGTAATTTCATTGATATTCTTCCTTGTTTTTATCCCGATATTACTCACGATAAAGACGATTAATGTTACCGCGGATAGGCGAGATTGCCTCATCAGTAATGATAGTGCGTGGAATCGACTAACTGGCCTACTTGTTGGCACATGTTTTATTTTATTGCTGATACTCGTGAGCGTCAATTACGCAGAAATTGTACGACATGTGCACCGAAAATTTTCAAGAAGGAAAGCACGACGTAAACTTTCAAATTGAGTTAATTTATCTTCTTCCAAAATTTATAAATTGAAAGCTTATACTGTCAATATTGTAGTGAGTTTTTCAGCTTTATTTTTAAATTTTTAATAATTCTATCGGTTATTTCACCACGGAATACTGTACATATAAAGGTATGAGCCTATGTAATTTCCTATGTACTAATATTTTCTCGTTTTGAATGATCAATGTTAGACTATTTTTCAGAATCTGCAACCTGCAATAGCAATCATCGATTATCGGAGCCACGATATGTACGTGAAATGACTTCTTCCATTGTACGTGTCGCTATATTTCACATGATCTGTTGGCTTCCATTTTGCTTTATTGCAATGATTCCCACTAAGGTGACTTTTTTAATTTATATATGATCAATTTTTTTTTGCATTTCAGTATTATATACTAAAAAGAAAATGGTATTTATTTTAAGTTCGAATAAACGAATTTGTTTTCTCTGCGGAAATCTTCCAGAAGTTCAATAATTTGACTCAAAAAAGAGGTTCTAAATTCCAGATATGCTCATTGGTATTGATATCAGTACGAGCAATAAGTCAGATCAATGATGAAGATGGTGAGGTGTTATGGATTCCAGTATTAGCAAATTGGTTAACATATCTGAATTCAGCATTGAATTGGATTTTTTATGCTGTGCTGAATCGAGATCTCAGAGAATTGATTAGGTTTTCACTTCTACAGTCATTATAGAAATTGCTAAAATTCAATGTCATTTGTGATTCTTTCTTATTTTAATGCACTAATTTCCTTTGCCTTAATAAAATTATTGCTTGAGCAAAATGACAATATTAAAGTTGCAGTGATGAGTCATTAAATTAATTCTTCTCTGACCTTTCTACATTCCTACATTTTAGTATAATGTGTATAGTTTTAAAAACTTTTCAAATTTTTACTTCAGGAATAATACGAAACGGCGAAAACGTACTGCAATGACATATTATCATTCATCGTCAAATTTCACTAACAAAAGCTCTCAGCAACCTTTGGACCAAAGTTTAAGTATTCATGTATTGGCTGAAAGTCCGTAATCGTGAAAACTGAAATTACGCAAATGATAAATACTCCTTTAAACTGAAAGTTTTAATGGTATGTGTTAAATCTAAAATTAAAATCTTTTTGCTCGCAGAGATTCAAAACAAAATCACTGATGCCTATTGTATCGTTATTTTCTGTCCATGAAATTCCGGACTACATAATTTCGTCATTTCTCTTTCCAGATTATAAGCAGACATATATTCGTCACGAAACGATCATTTTCGAAATTAGATGCATATCTAATTAAAATCAGATGCATATCTAATATATTCGACCAGTACATTTCAAAACAACAAATTTAAACATTATTTATAAAATTCTGATGTTAGAGACAGCCGCAATGCTTATATCAACAGTGATGGTAAGCTGTGACTATTCAATAGTTTGTATGATTTCGGTTGTGCTTATTTTCCAAAGTTTTATTTATCATTGCTAAAGCAGTCTAAGTAAATGGGAAGTATCATTACTAAAATGTAAGGTCAGAAAGAAGAAATGTTGGATTTTCTTGAAAGAAAATGGATGAAGAAATGAATAACAGCAGATGTTACTGGCGATTTTGATAATGATTTGGCAGGCTTTGCTAACAGTTATGCAAACCACTATCATAAGTGATCGTAATGAGCTGAAGATGTGAATAGAAAATATTTAGATGCTATTTCTACTAGTAAAAGTTTAACCTTTAGTGATTACAAACAAATTACAGCATCATAGCATTATAAAGCATGCTCAAAGATACGAATTATTTATGATATATAAAAGATGAAATGTTGTTGTGATTTATGAATGTTCTTGTTGTCTATATATACTCACCTGTGCTTTACTTGTCCATATAATTATAATTCATATATTAATAAAATAGTATCAAATGAAAACCAACAATTTTGAAGTTTTAAGAATAATTATATTAAAATCCAATCATAAAATCAGCAAAAGAATTACAAAGCAGTGATTCCTAAATACTACATCGAATATACTGTATAGCTTAATTCATAAAAAGTTTTCGTGCTCTGCTCTTTCTCAATTCTCAAAATTTCGATAATTTAGAACGGAGAAATTATTGATTTCAAAAATTGAAACAGCATTAGCGAGATATCGAAGCCTTTTATTCTGTATGAAATATGTAAGATCAAAAAGTCTTAGTCTCACATCCAATCTATCCAATGAATATATATACAAGAAAGAAAAAAAAGAAACTTCTTGCTCAAAACTCTTGGTTCTATTTTTCTCAAAATTTGAAACTCAAATCCGCAATTTTTTTCGTGTGCTTATACTAAATCACTTTTGTTTTCGAAACCTTTTTTCTTCCTTGATGTACTTCATTTACAACTACTTTGTCCGGATGGAAATACTCTTTGCACTTTTTTCAATGCGCTTCTAATCACAAATTCATTTAACGAAATCTTAAACAGGAAGATGCGAGTTGGATCAGAAATCAATTGTTGAATCCGTTCTTAGGCTTTTTACATTTCTGTTAGAATTTCTGCAACACTAAGTGTTGACTAATCCACGAACGAAAATATTTTGCAAAATGGGCTATAGAGCTTGTATGTAGGGCTTACCTCAGTATTATAACCATAAGTATTTGTGCTTCTAATATTAACAATGGTTTTGGTATGCCAGACGAGAATATCACGTGGCCATGATTCCACGCCAAAGGGTGTCAAGTCGTCCCAGCTTATATTCAGATAATTCATTAGGCATGGTTCTGGTGAATGATCGCGGCATTTTCTCCTCCATCCCGCTCTGCAAAAGGCGGATAAGGGAGCTACTAGAATATCTAGAGTGATCTACAATCTGAATTTTTCCTCTTCCTTTTTTCTTGATGGAGAAAAGTCTAACGAAAGGAGGGAAGCAAATGGCTGCCTTTCATTAAAAACTGTAAAAGCCAAAGTTGCCTCAACCCCAAACACTTCGCTCAAGCAGTTTTTGATGGAATTTTAGACCATTCAAAGGCAGAAATCCTTTGGGTTTTAAGATGATTAGTTATTGTAAAGTTTACTTTGGATGTTGCAAGAGTAGTTCAAGATTTACAGCAAATCCAGCCATATCAAAACCCCATTTACGTTTTGGTGCATAAACTGTTTGCCAACCCACTACTTTTTTATTGAAAACTTTCGGTGCTTCGACTGCATTATTTGCTACTAAACCTGCAAATGGAAATATTCGTTTTGATTCGTTTTGAGGATTCGTTTTGAGGGAATTCTGTATGATAATTGCATGATCTGTAATTACTCGAAGAAATGAAAGGAAGGAAAGGAAGAGCAATAAATGGAAAGTAAAAGAATAATTGCTTTGCAACTCTTCCAGGTCATTGATGCGCCTTAATCAGTTTTGCTAAACAATTAATTCACTTCTACAATTTTGTATTTTTAGTTTATCTGAGTTACAGCTGATAATGAAGTCTAAAAAGAAGTTGTAATAATTGATTGATTGATTGATCCAGATCACAAGTAGAAGGATTTTTTCGCTGTAATTCCGAAAGATATACATTTGTTAAAATATATATATTCTATTCATAAAACTATCTATCCAATTTCCAGTACTGAAATTTTTTTAAAACCTGCGAATTTTACTTAATCGAATTTTGCATGAAGACAAAAATTAGGATACATACCAACAGCCCATACACCAACTTTTTTAACATTTCGAATGTATCGATTGAAAAGGCGAACATCATAAGTATTATCATCATCAGCAAAATATACTACGGCATTGTTACCCATTGATGCAAATTGTCTTCGAACAAAATTCAGCCCAGCGTCACGTCCGGTCCAACCACGTGCTGCAGTTCTTTTTGATTGATTATTATTGAAGTGATAATAAAAGAAAAAAACCAAGTTTCGAACTAAATACCAGCACTTAAGAAAAATTGAATGAAGTAGAAAAAAGAAGTGTCATGAAAATAAAATTTGAGAATGAAAACAATCAGGAGCGGATAGAATTAATGGACGACACATCTTATTATCTCTCATGTCATGTTATTCTAGTATCAACTGCACCACCTGGCACTCCAGGTCGACGTTTCACGGCTAAGTAGTAATATTGTAGACTGCTACGATCCAGTAATTGTTTTACAGGTAATGATATGTGTTTGCCATCTTCTACAACAATCCAAATCAATTGGTTGATGTGCATCAATGTTTGTGATAACCTGTAACTGATTCGGTTTTGAATAAAGACTTATAATCAGTTCGATATTTGAATATCTCTCGCATTTGGCAATTTTTGTTTTTGTTTAAGATGCAATTGGTTTTTCTGCTCAAAATTTTGCAATTGGTTTTTCTCAAAATTTTGCAATTGGTTTTTCTGAAGTTGAATCCTGAAATAATCTGAAATGGAAAATGAAAAGTTGCATGAGTCTGTTAACTTCGTGTAGTTTAAAGAAATAAAGTGATGCACACAGAATTTGCGCTTGTTTTTAACTTCAAATCAATTAATGGATGGTCATTTACCTAGTCATGTCAGCCAGTCGTGCAAATCGCAAGTATGTCGGTGTGATTACAATTATCGTTCGATTGCTACTTTTTTCATTATTGAAATATTGCGTGAAATTATTATTTGATGCTATCACTGATTCGTAAATTTCATAGTTCCTTTCTTTTACCAAATGTATGATAATATATGTTTGAATGATGATTACAGTTATTACAAATACTGTTTGAACAGTAGAAAAAATTCCATCAAATGACCGCTGGTTAAGCCTATAAGCAGATAATTAATTTAAGTCTTCAACATTCCAGTGGTTTAATTCAAATGTCACGTAACAGACCTCTTGGGGTGCGGAGCAAAAGCAATGGGATTATAAGAATCACTTATCGATTGAAGCCAATGTGTGATAGTGGAATTTTGAGGGTCGGAAATTACCGAAATAAATAGGCCTTCCATATAAAATGACAGTTTCGGTAAATATATTTGTGATTATTAGTAATGCATTTAAAATATGATAATGTACTTTGGACATCTGCTAGTCTAAGAAAAATAATCAGAAAAATAATATAGAATTGCATTTTAAAGAAAAAGTGAAGGCAAACATAATAAACATTAACATTTACAACTTAAAGCCAAAACTACAATAATTACTCAGAAAAAAAGGTTTAAAGCTATAAAAAAGAAATGCTGTTTTATATTCAGAGAAAAAGCAAGAGCCCAAAATAAGGGTTAATTTTTAGAATTCTAAACTTGGAAATTCTAAAATACTCAGCTTTCTCTGCAGTGTAAAACAGAAAGTTTAATATTTTAAAATCTCATAAAGTTTTTATTGCTTCATTTTTCTTACAGTCTTCGTAGAAATTTCGTTCTTCTTAAGCGCATTTCTTTTTCATTCTGAAACAATAGTATGAAAATTCATTTCCGACCAGCATTGAAGCATTATAGTCCTCACCCTCATCTGATTCCAATTGAATTATGGTTCAAACCTCAAATAATGCTTTATCATCTTTGCTAAATTTTTTAAACAGAACTTGTATTGAAATTGATGATAACTGCAAGAGAATGAATCATTTCAGGAAATTAAGCTAAGACTTAAATTCTGAAAAAAAGGACGAGACCTGAATCAGGCCGGTCAGAATTTGTTTCTTGCGAGTAATATAAACTTGTGAAAGCTATGATTTCTTTTTTTTAAGCCAGTACCAAGGCTTTTTTAAGCTACCGCAAAGAGATAGGAATATCTACAACGACTTCCATTCGAAAATTAAGCATTTCACCTGAGATCTTTTGGACAACCAGCCAATACCCACGAGTTCTGTTGGAATAATTTTTAGAAAAACTTGAAAGCAAAAAAAACTATGCAAATTTTGGAATATTAATCGGAACTAAGAAGGTGACGAGGGGAAGAGAACCCAACCGCAGAAAAATGGTGACAAAACAGCTATAAAGCAGAAAAGCTACAACTCTACAAGCTCAAAACCAAACTTTACGAACTATATTACACGCAAAGATTAAAAGAACCGATCGGGATTTAGAGGTAATTATTTACTATGTTACGGTTACGGCACTTGTAAATCTTCAAATGGCTTGATGACACTAAGGGAAGACTGCCGTAATGAGTCGCAGCAGACAGTTAGAGTAACTCTGCGAACAAGACAGCGGACGAAACGAAATCAGCAAGAACAGCAGCTAAGAAGTGAGAAGCTTCAAACTTTTATAAAAGCTGTTTTCTGCAACCAATAACGAACGATACAGTGATATTTTCGTCTCAAAAAATATAAACAAAATAAATCAAGCACTTCATTTTTTCTCTCTTTAGCCAATATTTGATGCAAAAAATTCAATTCAGAATTTGTTGTATAAATTCCGTGATATATTAAATGTAAATGTGGCGCAGCAATTAAATTTACTTCAATTGCAATTCAATCATTTCTGTAATTTAGTATTACAAAAAATACGGACTTCAGTCAGCTGTTTTATTTTTTTCTACTGGAACTATATTTTCATCCAGGTTCGTCATATAATAAAATTAGTGTGTGTTCCAGCGGCATCTCACGATTTACACTTATTCATAGATAACTTTTGACATCCAGAAAAAAACCATCATAAGTTAGAGAAAGTTGTATTCGGACTCCAATTAAATTAAAACTCTTCTGACGTGTAAAATATACCTGTTCGTAAAAACACAACAAAAAACAAAAAAGTTATTTCAGAAACCAAGAATATGGCACTATGACGAGATTAACAGAACTTCGTAATTCCGGAAATAAATCATTTTACTCTTCGTTGCTTGGTTATGTTGCGCATCGAAATAACGCTAGATGCAGTACAGGTCGAGGGCCTTTTTCGACCGCCTGAAATAAAAATAGTACATCTACACATTAAAGAACAAGATCAGTTTCATATTTCAAATCGATACATGCAAATAAAAGAAGAAACTTGAGCAAATGGGAAACAATAAACAATCAAATCATAAAAAATGACACATTGTGAATAAAACCTGAGTGAGACTCTGCATCAAGCGTATTCACCATTTCTTCTGTTTCTAAATAAAGCCAATGTGGGAAGTGAAAAAAATAAGTTAAAAGTCAGTTAAATAAGAAAATTAAGACGTCAAAATCTAGCACAAACAAATTTCTAATATTCCAAAATGATCAAAGTAAACACCTGTCAATAACAATGCAGGATTCTCCTCTGGATTTTCGATCTCGGGTGCGATTGGTAGGAACCAAAGTGGGCCACGTTTAGCAGTTAAATCAGTGACGTACATGCTACCATCATCATCTTCATCCGAGCTACAGTATACAGCGTTTGGTTTAAGAGTTACAACGTCAACAACTTCGTCGTCCTCTTCCTAATTACGACATTTTTTAAATTCTTAGTATTTAATAATACGCACACACGATAGAATATGGCAAGGACAAAAATCAAAATCTAAGCATTACGGTTTCTAACCCTTAATATAATCTGAAGAATTTATTTCAAAATTTTAAGAACTTTGGAAGTTTGTGGAGCTGGTTCATCTGCATCTTCATCCTCCAAATCAAATTCCGACTCTTTTTCAATGTATTTCACATTTTCTTCGAGTTCAGTGAATTCAGGTGCAAAGGCGCTCCAATTTTCAACATGAGCCTAAAAGTTCTGAATTTTCCTTTTAATACTCAGTACAGTAGCAAAAAAGCAAATAAAAGGCAGAAAAAAAATTAACCTGAGTCCAAACAGAAACAAGACCATTAGCAATTGAAAGTATGATTGGGCGTGTTGGATGCCACTGAACGTCATGTAAAGTTTCACCCTAAAATCATTAAAAAATGAAAGTTTGTTAAATGAGCTGTTTCAATAATGTATTAATTGCGTCACCTGATTTCAAATCATTCATTCAGTGTTGAGAAAATTGACAAATTCGACTGCAAGCAATCATTTAAAATTTCTGCTAGATTTAAGCAACACAATTCTAAACTTATATCTACCTTTGTGCCATGCAACATTTTGATTAAACTTCCAGAATTCCTTTCCCAAATGTACAGCGAATGCGCCTTAGTACTGGCGCCACAGATATAATCGCCATCATTTGATACGCATATTGCTTTCCACGAAGCATGAAAATATAGTTAAGATAACTTTTAAAATAAGAATTTCAGAATCCTAAACTCCATTTGCGAAATCCATATCATTTAGCAGATCAGAATTTAATATATACTAAATTCTAACTGGCATCATTTTACGATGAAATCACAAATATGCTAAACCATATACTTTTACATTTAACTTTCTCCACATAAATTGACTGAAAAGACACTAATATCTCAGCATATATTGAAAGCACGTTCTTGATAAAACTGTCTTTATATTATTATATTATTTACGTTTCTCACATTAATTATTATGAAAACAGATTACAGAAGCTTGACAACAGAAATACCTTATTTAATGTAGTAGAATGAAATAATATAGATAGTATATTATATCAATCAATCTATGTCTGTGCTTACAATCCCAAGCGTAAATATAAATATATTTACATAATATAAAAACAAACTTTATTGATTATATCTAAAAGCTTCTGCAATGGTTCAACAATAGTTCCATGATGTTTCTTCAGCAAAAGATCGAGCTTGTAAGTCCTAATAATACGATCCTGAGAATTTGTTAATAAAAAATCGCCACGGCGTGTTAGTAATATATTTTTAATCTGAAAACAACACAATTGAAAAAGCTGCACACACTAACTTGAATAATGCTTTTCGGTAATACCAGTAAGTACAGGCTTGCAATGAGATCGTTTTGTTTCTACGAGTATAGATATCACCATAGGTCTATTTAGAGAGGTTGAACAGATATGAACATCTAACACCTTCTGCATTTAACCAAGTCCTATATTTTTTCACCAAAAGGATGGGAAAATTACCTGATGCGTAGCATTCTGCTTTACAAACGTAATCAGTTCTAATGTTTGAGCATCGTAAAAAGCAATGCGACCTTTACTACTACCGGTAACGATGTATTTTCCTCTACGATCAAATGTTCCCACGGTAATTTCTCCAGGCTGATCATCGATTTCCTCAGGAAACTTCATCTGAAGATATTTATTTCGTCCTCATTAATTTAGAGAAAAATTATGTCCTTGTGATCAAATATAATCCCATAATAGGTTGATCAATGACTAAAACTCTCATAGATTTTATCATGAAGGTCAGGCTGAAAATTTCAGAGCTAAAGTGACTTTCGTTTATCTGTGTATGACTTTCGTATGACTTTTTTATGACTTTCGTTTATAGTGACAGAACAAAGCAACGGTAGCAAATTCAATGAAAATTTTGTATTCCTAACCACCGCCACATTTTTTTCAAAGAAATGACTAATATTTAGTTCAAAATTTATGCAAAAAATTTTTACCTCTGTCTGCAGTTTCGCCTCCAAATCTAGGAGCACGGGATTAGCACCCAAATAAATAATTAATATGTGTTTATCATTGCTGAAAATTAATTTATGTAAGAAAAGACAAATGAAAGGAGAGATACACACCATTCAAGATGAATGCATAGTTCAATTTTCATATTTCAAGGATGCTAAACATAAAAGGTAACATGAAATAATCGAACCGTGGATTGAATATTGCACAAAGAACAGGAGAACTGTAAATTTGTCTTTCAATTCGAGATCCTTCCAGAACATCCCAGATTGCCACGGACCAATCATTGCTTGCTGTTAATAATTTACGCCCATCACGCGACCAACTTAATGATGTAATGGAATAACCATGACAAACCCAACTCTGAAGTACAGATTTCGTTTTATGACCTTATGAAACAATGGCTAATGATGAATGATAATAGATATAAAGCAGCACTTAACTACAGTATTTGGGAGGAAAATAATTACAATAGTCAATGCTGCTTCTAGATAATATCATGAAAAATCACTTTAACAACTCCTTTGGTTATGAGGTCGAAAATGTA